GGCGTCAGGCCTGGGCAAGGGGCCGATCCTGCAATTGGAGGGTGATGGGGGTCAATGCCTGAGGGCTCCCAGTATGTGAGAGGGGGCAGGATGGGCTGAGGGACACTACCCCCCCCCCACGAAATTCGTGCACTGAGCCCTTAGTTGTTACTATAATCATTAACAGAAGCTTTGAAAACTTTGCTGCTGTCTTTATTAACACAAGAGTCACCTAAACCTCGCATCTTAGTATTATCCCCAAAAAAACTTACCTATTGTACATCTCAATCCTTTCCACTCTTCTGGACAATGGCATTTGCCATTTTCCCAGGTCCCACCATTCATGCAGTAGTCTTCAGAAGCATTTGGTAGGCGGGTAGGTGTTCCTTAAAAAACAATAAATAACAGAATAATATATAAAGTGGCTGATTAGTAACTCCCTTTGGTTTTGTGACCTTTAATTTCCATATGTAAAATTATTGCTTTAACTAGCATTGCTGAGATATATTCTTTGTAATATCATTATAGGGAAAAGAATGCTAATTAGACATCATAGATATGAAAAAAAAACATATTTGAAAGACACAACACCTTGACTGAAAAGATGAGAATCTACTTAGGGAAACATTATATAGATGAGAGATAGATGATAGCTAGCTAAATAGATGATAGATAGATGACAGAGAGATGACAGATGATAGATAGATAGATAGATAGATAGATAGATAGATAGATAGATAGATAATAGATAGATAGATAGATAGATAGATAGATAAAATTAGGTAGGCAGACCAACGAACTCGACACTCAAATTTCTAAGATCTGTAGGAATATAGAAGAGAGATGTTGAGGACAGAGGTAACCTATCCAAGGAAGACTTTTCAGAAGAGGTGTTATTTGAATTGAATTTTAAAACTAAATCTAGAAAAGCCAAATGCAAATGGATAGCCCAAGAAGGCAGGACGCAAAGTACAAAATACAAAAACATGGTAAGTTCTGATATGTCCAAGGAACAGAGAAAAACTTAATATATCAGGAGCACAGGTTCTATGCAGAGCAATAGCAGGACATAGGTTGGATTATGAGTGGTTTTGTAGACCAAGCCAAGTGGATTTAATCCTACAGGAGTTTAGAGAGGACTTGAAACAAGTGAGCAACATAATGAGGAATGCTTTTTAGGATGATACCTCAAGCAATATGGGAAGTGACTGAGGCAAGTAAGATCAGTTAAATGAGGACTTAATCTAAAGCAGTAGCTCTACGGAGGTTATGTGTCAAGAGATTCAGGAAGCATACCTGAGATAGGATTATTACGATCTACTGACTGGTTAGTTTGGGTTGGGGAAACTGGGGTCTTTAAATTTGAAGACAAGGATGATGAACAAATTAACTAAGCTTAAGAATACAGGAAGGAGGAGTTCCACTTCCAATAATGATGGAGTAGATTGTACCATATCAACCCTCCCACAGATAACCATTTTAAACTCTGGACAAAAGTAAAACCAACAAATTACTAGAGGACATGGGATAGCAATGAAAACCATTTCAAGTTTACACAGTCTTCCCACTAAGGACACTGCCCAGTCAATACAGCAGGAGTGGCTGAAAATCCAGCAGAAAGCTAGTCTTAATGGATTGAGGTGTGAAAGGAACCTGTTTGGGGTTACCATAACGATTGGAAATTGAAGGGAGATAGTCTAGAATGGAGGAAGCCATATAGAAGAAAGGCTCAAAGTGTATGTGTGAATTTCCCTCAACTCTAGGGAGGAAAAAGTCTTAAAAAATTAAGAACTCTTCAGGGACTATGCAACAACGTCAAGCAGATATATATATACACACATACACACATACATACATATGCAATTGGAGTCGCAGAGAGGAGAAGAGATGGAATTGGGTATATAAAATATCTGAAGTAATAATGGTCAAAATTTTTCAAATTTGGCTAAGAACTTTAACTTATAGATCCAAGAAATTCAGTTAAGCACAAACAAAATAAATACAAGGAAATCCACACTTAGACACATCATGATCAAACTGCTAAACCTCAGAGGAAGGAGAAAATCCTAAAAGCAACCAACTACTGACCTGGACAATTTTACTGGTGAATTAGGGGAGAAATAATGCCAGTCTTATATATACCCTTTCAGAAAATAAAAAAAGGAATAAAGTTTCCAAATATTTCATAATCCTAGGATAATTCTGATACTAAAATATGACAAAGACATAACAAGTAAATGAAATTACATACCAACTAACCTCATTTATATAGATGCAAAAATCCTTCAAAAATAGTAGTAAATTAAATCCAGCAATATATAAAATCTGTGATGCATCATGACCAAGTGCAATTTATACCAGGAGTGCAAGGTTGGTTTAACAATAGAAAACCAATTTGTTTAATTCATCATGTGACAGAATAAGTAGGGGGAACCATATGATCATTTCAATAAGTGCTGGGGGTAAAAAGCATCTGTCTTTTGTTTTTTAACTTTCAGCAAACAAGGAATAAAAGGGACCTTCTTCAAACTGATAAGATTCACCTGTGAAGATCCTTCCACTAATATATACTTAATAGTGTAATAGTGAATGCTTTCCCCACCAAGATTGACAGAAATAAGCACTTTTATTCGATATTGTATTGAAGATGTTATCCAGTGTTATAAGCAAGAAAAGGAAATAAGAAATGCAAAGTTAAGAAAGGAAGAAATAGAATAATCTTTTGTTGCAGATAACATCATCAAATATGTTTAAAGGTGTCTCAAAAAAAGCTACTTGAATTGATAAGTGAATTTAGCAAGGTTGCGTGATGCAACACATATACAAAAAATCAATTATTTCCACATATTAGCAATTGGAAAACAATATTGTAAAATAATTTATATTTAAATTAGAATAAACTTTTTGGAAATAAATTTAATAAAATATGTGCAATAATTCATTGAGGGAAAATCTTAAAGATCTAAATAAATGGAGACATATACCATGTATGTATGAAAAAGTCAAAGTTGTTAATGTGTCCATTTTCCCCAAAGTGATACAGCTAAAATCCAAAAACAGAAGACCTTTTTATGTAGAAATTTACAAACTGGTTTAAAAATCTTATGGCAATATAGAAAACCTGACAGGCCAACACAAACTTTTAAAAGAGGAACTGATTTGAATGATTCACATTACTAATTTTATATATTTACTAGTGGCCCGGTGCATGAAATTCGTGCACGGGAGGAGAGTGTTCCTCAGCCCAGCCTGCACCCTCTTCAATCTCGGACCCTTTGGGGCATGTCGACTACTGGTTTAGGCCTGATCCCAGGATGTCCGACTGCCAGGATCGGGTCTAAACCGGCAGTTGGACATCCCTTTCACAATCCTGGACCGCTGTCTCCTAACCACTCACCTGTGTGCCTGCCTGATTGCCCCTAAGTGTTCAGCCTGCCAGCCTGATTGCCCCCTAACAGCTCCCCTGCCGGCCTGATCATCCCCAACTGCCCTCCCCTGCTGGCCAGATCACCCCCAAGGCTTTTAGTAGTATAGATATGACCCCTCATAGAAAATTTTACTAACCCTGCTTTACAATAAGGGATTGACGATTGAATCATTAG